GGCCCTGCTGCTCAGAGCTTGCGCTCCCAAACCAACTCTTACCCAATGAACCACTCGGCTGGCCCCTCCCCTAATTTCTTAGCAACACTTTCTTCAGAGCCCTTTTTCCCCATTGTTTTTATTTTATTTATTTTTTTGTATTAGTTTCAGGTGTACAAAACAACATAATGAGTAGACATTTACACCCCACAGTGAGATAACCTCCCCCCTCCTCAAGTCTACTACCCCTCTGACATACATTAGCTATTACAACACCATTGACTATATTCCCTATGCTGTGCTTTATATTCTGTGACTATATACAGAAGGTGCCAAAAAAATGTATACACATTTTAGGAAAGGAAAAAACTGTATTAAAATTGTAATACTCAATATATACCGATAACAAAAGATGAATACAAGTCACGTGTATACATTTTTTGGCACCCCCGGTATATATATCTCTAAAGTGATCCCCCCAATAAGTCCAGTGCCCATCTGATACCCTACATAATCTTTACATTATTGATTATATTCCCCATACTGCGTTCAGAGCCTTTAAGGATATCAATATACGATCTGATTTTAATGTGTTTAAATTTTCAAATCAACTTAAAGTACACCTGTTAAGTACAGTTGATGAAATGATGAAATGCATAATAGGGTGGGGCCCTCATGATCTATCTGTGTTCCTGTAGTTAAAAAGCTTAGTAGCAAAAGTCATCAAACACGAAAATAATTTCTAAAGAAATGACCACTCATAAATAGAGCTCCCACTCAGGTCCCTGCCCACTTTATATTCATCTCTACTCTCATTACCAGTTAGTCTCTCTCACTGACTGTCTGATGCTTCACGCAGCACTTTGTAGATCCAACGCAAAGTCAAATAGGAAAATTGCCAAATATGCAGGAGTTCAAGTTGATGAAAGGAACTTTGGAAAATTGCCTGAGCCACAAGTGAGCCTCTAACAAATAAGGGTTGGACCAGTTAACAAATGGAAAAAGAGAAAACTAGTCACGATGATGACACAATAGGTACTTCAAAAGAGCAATTTAAGGGGCCTTGAGGAAAACTGAAACCCACTGTGACTCTTGCAAAAATGGCCTCTACTATGAGTAAAGTTAAACATGAAATGAGGACATCTATTATTTTATTATACTATTTATTGGGGAAATTAGGCTGCCAATAAACCTTAATTGTTTGTGTAAAAAATTACTGCATAGGTGCAACAATACTTATTTTTATATTACAGTTTCACTGTAAAAATAACACTCTTAACTCCCCTCACTCCACAGCCCCCACCACCACTATTTACTACAAAAATCTGATTTCCGTTAAGGGAATTCATTTTTAGTGGCCTCTTTCTGGAACTATTTAATTATCCTCAAAATACAAGATCTCCTATAATTTGGTAAAATAAACATTTCCAAAGTCTAGATTGAAGAGAGTCAATGTTTCTTAACTGATTTTTACCTTTATACTTATACTATCTGTACACTATTTACCATAATCTATAGAAATATAAATGTGTTACAGTAGTGTTTATGCAACATGACCTTATTCTGGTCTTTCCTGATAATAAGTGCCCAGCCTACTTTGCTGAAAATGACCCCCTGCCAACTGCACATCAGCCTCTCCATGTAAAACAATCTAAAAGGAAGAGAGAGGCAAGTCTTCAGAGGGCGGGGAGAGCTCCCCAGTGGGGCAAATGTGAAGGGCACTCAGGTCGTAACAGCTGATCTTCATGAGGTCCTTTCTAGCATGTGTTACACCCTTGGCCCAGTTGACTCTCAGAACTGAGGAGCTTTAAATAGAAATGGTTGCTGGTGAGCCTTGTCCACATGCTTCTTCTATTTAAAGTTTGAACAGCTCTGAGGCAAGCTCAGGCTCTAGACAGTACACTAAGGAGAAAGGGGGAAGGTGCCTCTTAAGTTGGAGAGGAGGGGAATATGCTTCGGTCAAGTCAGGTTCATGGGAACTCAGCACCAGAATCTTTTTAGGGTTTTATATTAATTTTGTTAGACAACAGGCCCCAAAGAAATTCTCTAGCTGGAAGTTTTTTAGTTTGCAGGTTACATATCCCCTCAACTCACTGTTTCCCTGCAGCCATTGCAAAAATTACTTGGAGTGCAATGCAAGTGGTATTGGCACAGGGTAGGGAGAGAGACTCTACCTCCTGTCAATCAATAGCTTAGATCTGCATATGAATATAAAATTTCCAGAAAAAAAAATTCAGGAAAAATCACTAGGGCTTTAGTGTTAGGATAAATAGAAATATACAGAAAATTGAAACAGGTTAATATTTACTTTTTAAGTGCTCTTATAAGAGTCACTTTTTTTTCAGAATATAAAAGTTGAAAATGTATTATGAATAACTTGATGTACTGAAAAAATTATCATATTCAATATATTTAAAAATGTGAAGATTTAGGAAAAAAATATAAAAATCACAGAAAGGGAAAAAGAAAGCTTCTTCCTGCTCTTAACTTTCCTGACTCTAACAACACAGTTGATTTTTGTGGGCTGCAATAACGCAAGGCTTTTGGCAGTTATAACATTTACTGACAGGTAAAAGGATAGGGCAGAACAAATACTTCAGTCCTGCTGAATTTCCCTTCTCTTGGCTGACGGTGATGAAGTTATTGCCCTTTCAACTATACTGAACACAGTAACATAGCAGACACAGATAAGAAATAAAGAAAATGCTGAGCACACTACAATGTACTTTGGAGCCAACTTTATGCAAATAATCACTTTCAAATTGAGACAAAGCCCAGAAGATGTGTTTGAACTATTCAACATGAAACGCTTGTAGGACACATCACAAAAGCTCCAAGGTCTGTCGTTATCTTGTTTTCCCAATAAACACTACATGGAGTTATGCCAACTAGGGAAAAAGTAAACTCCTGTGAAACAGTTTTTAAAAAACTCCCCTATGTGTCATCTAGTCAATGGGAACAAATGAATAAACAAGGCTACCTCTAACAAAAACCATGTTATGAAATAAGTTCTTTGCGAAATGCTGAGATTTTAAGTTAATTAGAAGCCATGCTCTGACATTCTGAAAGTCACACCAGCCAAACTCTGCCACAATTTCTATCTTCCTAATAAAAGAGACAGGCAAACTAACATATACTAGTATAGTGTATGTCATTTGATTTATAGTATAGTTCTTCTAAATATTAAATAACATTATTCAAGTTATAAAATCACATTATAAGTCAGATATAACTTAATGGATTTTAATAGCTTTTAAAGAGTAAATTCTATTAGTTGAAATTCAAATTGATTCTCCTATCAATCTCTTTAAACAACATAAAGTTTGTTTTACTCACCTCTCTAGCCACATTGCTGGTTTTCACTTCCTGTATAACTGTACCAAAGATGATATAATCAACAATATCCTTTGGGACATTGGTCCGATGCAACAAACCCCTGAGAAAAAGTCCAAAGCAAAAAAGCATTTCACACATCAAGGTAGGGCCATAGATCATTACTTAAAACACTGCACTTCTTTAAAAGGATAACTTTGAATTTAAAGAGCAAAGATTGTATCTTTTCCTTAATTTGACAAGCATGTGGCACCTTATCAAAGAAGAAATGAATGAAAGAGTGATTTACAAAGTCACCATGTGATGCTCAATTGGCAATAAGTTACATAGAAAGAATAAAAATAATTTGCAATATGATAAAATGGATAAGTAAACATAGCAATGTTAGTGAGAACCAAGTTTTCAGTCAAAAGAGAAAAGAGACAAATATAAAATTAAAGAGAGGAAGTAAAATCTCAGGTATGTTAAATTTACATTTGAAATATCAGTATCAATACAAGATTTAAATAATATACATATTTTTCTAGTTCTCTCCACTGATAAAGACTAGAAGGAATAACACTCCAATAGAAAGAGCACACCCTGAACTCAGACTTGGTTTCTAAATGTCATTCCCCATTAAAGGAATTAGAGCTTTTTAAAAAACGAGAGGCAGGGAAAGTACAGAGTGCACTTCACTGATCTATTTGTGCTAAAAATAAGCAAGCTCTCAAAGACTAATGGGACCTTTGCAAAAACAGGAACACAGGTATACTCATTTGTCAAAACTCATCAAAAGTGTCCCCTTAAAATCTGTGCATGTTATTGTGTGCAACTGTACCTCAAAAAATATTGTAATAAAAAACAAAAGGGACACAGGAGCCAAGGAGCTCCCACAGATAAAAAGGGAACTTCATGCTTTTTGAAGCTCAGAGCTTCAAAAAGAATAATGACTAATCTTGGCTATAACAAAAACAAAATAAAAATCAATTAAGTCCTCATCATTAAAAAAAAATAATAAAACTGCTCTTTATAGAAAAATACCAGCCAATAAAGGTAGGAGGAATAAAAGAATCAGAAAAACCACAAATCTGTAATCTCTAATGGTAATAACTGATTCAAGCAAAAATTATCAATGAATGCTAAACCATTCGGTAGAAGGTTGTTGGGGAACATGATGTTCACATGGTGCTAAGATATCCCTTTACAGATTACTGGCTAATTGCAATGGGAAAAATGGACCTTTATAATCCAGATCTGGCAGTATGGACTATAACCAAGTGGTTAGATTGAGTTTCATACATCATGTGCTTCTTAATATGATACAATACCCATGTGCTTTACCCATGAAGAGCTCTTACCCAAAAATGCTCAACCTGAATAAAATCAAGCCTCTACATCTAACTTCCAGTTTACAAGCAATTCACAGAGGCAAGTCAAATATCAGCATGAGGAAACATCCAGCGTATGGGACATTTATAAGACAGCTGGCCTGGACTTTTCAAAAAGTCACTGTCATGTGGGCGTGGGGGTGGGGGGCAGAGGGAGAAATTAATGTTCTAAATTAAAAGAGGCAAAAGAGACATATTCATTTGTAATATGAACCTTGATTGGGTCCTGGTTTGAAAAAAAATATTAAAAGAAAAGACATTCTTGGAATAATTGAGGGAGATATGACTATGAATTGGATATTAAGTTACCATGAAATCACTGCTATTATCTTAGCTATGGTAATGGTATCACAGATAGCAGAGAAGGTCCTTATTCTTAGGCGATAAATGCTGAAGTATTTAGTGCTGAAGCATGCAGAGCTGAACCATATAGATACAGCAAATATGGCAGAATGGCAATAATCATTACATCTAAGTGGAAGGTATTTAAGTGTTCACTGTATTGGTCTTTTAATTTTATTGTACATTTGACATTTTTTAAAATAAACAGTTGAAAGGGCCAGCCCAGTGGCTCAGTTGGTTAAGAGCTTGCTCAAGAGTTTGAGCTCTAAGCAACAGGGTGCCCGGTTTGATTCACAGCCCGAGCTGAGCTGCCGCTGAGCTGCTAACAGGTGGCAGGATGGCTCAGCTAAAAAAA